TCATGGGGGTGCTGCATAAAAAAATTTTTTTTCAATAACTTTTTTTGAGGGGTGGAAACATGAAAATTTTTGTTGGACAAACATGGACAAATCGTGGACAAACAAATGCAATTTCATTTTTATCAATATTTGCATTTAGGGGTGCCAACTTCTCGAAGCTATATAATTGCTTAAATGGATAAAATAATTTCTACATATTTCCTTTATATTACATTATGTTAAATAACCTTTTCATAGTCGGCGCAAAATTAAAAATTTTGAGTTCCTGCTTGAGTTAGTTTTTGGTGAAGGTGGATATATTTGGGGCTTAGACATCAAAAAATGAAACAAATCATTATTTTTTTTTTTTATTATTAAAATTTAAACGTTTCTGAACAATTCTACGCAAAGACAATTGAATTTGGAGCACCAGAAGTGGTAAAAAAAATTTTTGCAAAAAAAAAATGGAATTTTTTGGTCACAGTCACAGAGTACTGTTTTTTAGGATAAAGAAGACCGTAAATTTCCGAATAAGCAGTGTTTTAATCGATTTTGTTCAAATTAAATACGATTTGATAATATATCTATTGAAACAGAAATTTTTAGTTTTTTGCATCTCCTGGAAACCTAGGTTTTTTATACAAAGGTACACTTTTCTCAGAAATGGTTACACTGATACGAACCAAATTTTTTACACGTGTTTTCTGATAGTTGGGCCTAATTTACACCGAGGATTTCTTTGAAATTCCAAATGATTAATTTTTTAAAAATGTATAAATTTGAAAAAAAAGTGTATAGGTTTGCGCCTTTTTTTGGAATCAAAATATTGAAAACATCCTCGGTGTAAATTAGGCCGAACTATCAAAAAACTCGTGTAAAAAATTTGGATCATATCGGCCTAACCATTCCTGAGAAAAGTGTATTTTTATACCAAAAACCTACATTTCCAGGAGACGCAAGAAACTAAAAATTTGTATGTCCCGCTCGATTATCGATATAAATGTTATCTAATCGTATTTCTTTTTATCAAAATCAATTAAAACACTGCCTTTTTGATAATTTATCGTCTTCTTTACCCTGAAAAACAATACTCTATGGTTGTAACCATGGTAACCACGTCTCCGGTCTTCCGCAAATTTGATTATCGTTGTTTTCTCTTCGAGAAAGTTGCCAGTTGTATTTCCTTCTATTTTTTACAGTTTTATCGCGTTCGTTTTATTAAGTTCGTGTCGTCGAACTTTTTTTGTGAGGAAAAAAGAAATTTTCTATAAAAAAAATTTTTTTTTTTTTAATTTTAATTAAATTTTTGTATCACTTCCAGTGCTCCAAATTCAATTTTCTTTACGTAAAATTGTTCAGAATCGATTAAATTTTAATATAAAAAAATTTGTTTTTACGTTATTTTTTTTCGCTTTTGATGTTCTAAACCTCTGAAAGGTGCACAGGAGCCAGAGCCAAACTTCGAGTTGTCTTCAGCTACAGTTGCGAAAAAAGTAGGAAACTCCGGGACAAGGACAGAGAGGGCGATACAACAATTGCAGGAGAGACGAGGACAGAGCGACTAGGCTAGCATAATTTTTTTTCCAGGATATTGAAGCAAAGAAGCAATATTTTCTAATAATTCTGATTTTAATATATACGTTACACTTTGGCGGATGCGACTCCAAAGCCTGATTTTGCAATTTCGGCCTTAAAAAATCATAAACAATAAAATGAAGATAGCAAATGTACTTTTATTGTTTATAAAGTTTTAAGGCCGAAATGTTTGATTTACAGGCAGCGGACATCTAGACAAATGTATAAACAGTCTCAGTTTGTAGCTGATACGCTATTTAGCTTCTTCATTTCACCGCCAAAGTGCGGATCAGTCACTTTACATGAGTTGTCATTAGGGTCTGAACGTCAGCACTGCTGAACACAGCATTTTAGCTCCGCATAGTTGGAAAGCACCTTTATGTACTGGCAGTTCATTTGGATTTTACGTCTTTTTCTACTTTCTGGCGTTTTTTATGGGTATCTTCCATTTTTTTGTATTTATTCCTTTTCGTCCTCCACTTATTTATGTATTTGGCGTAATTTTTTTTTCATTTTTGAAGTTTTTTATGCGGATACTGTCTACGCGCAAATAATGTCTGAAAGGATTTGATGTATTTGTTTTGGCATTGCGGAGGGTGGGGGGGGAGCAATGTTGCAGACAGTTAATGTATATACTATCTACACGAAAATACTGTCTGAGTAGGTTTGGGTCATTCTATTTTGAAAGGGGCTGTGGGTGAAAATATTGAATATTGCTAATATATATATTTTCTTTATGAAAATACTGTCTGAGTAGGTTTGGGATAGTATTTGGTGAGCGTGACGATATTGAATAGTGTTAATGTATATGATGTATAAAGTAGATATAATGATTACAATAATTTAAGGGCATATGTTTTGTCCCTCCGACAGAAAGTTTGGTAATTTTGAATGTATGTAATTTCTAATTTTGCGCCGACTACGAAAAGGTTATTTAACATTATTGGATATAGGGTACATGTGTATTTACATTGGTACATTGGTTTGATTGATCATATCTATATAAATTTTGTATTAACTAAATATATTATATTACTTTTGAGAACGAAACGAGTGACTGTTTATTTGAGAATTCATCCATATTTAACATGGTAGCAGGACATGTTTGCGTAGTTCGTTCATTAAGTGGTAGATGCACGTGGATCGAGAACATTTTGAGGCTAAGCACATGCTTGGTAAATGGAAAATGAATTTGAAAAATATAGTAAGAGTTGTTACATGCCGACATTTTCAATTTTTATTTTTTTTGATTTCGTCGGCAGGAATGTGTTCGTCACCTCATCAAACCTAGCCTTTGACGGTAGTTTATTAAATTCATTTTTGAACAAAGATACACGTTCTTTCCTTGAAATCAACGTCGTTACGCCACTTTCACCCTGCTGGCAGCGCCGCGCCTTGTAAAAACCTTGTAAATACGTTTAATATGTTTAATATTTTTAATATGTTTAGTATTGTAAATATGTTAAGTGCGTTGCTTGTTACGAATGAAAGGCGTTAAGTCATGTAATGTAACAGCGGCGTATATGTATATATGTATAATTGTTGGAAAGATAAGCAAATCGAATATTACCATCGCGTTCAAATATCACGGTTACAGATATCATTGGAAGAAGGACATGTAAATATCGCGCATTTAAGTTAAACCTTTATTTCGCTATTTCTTCTTCATGTACGCTCTGAACAACGAACCCGTAACTCGAAACAGCAGCGTGGTTCGTCTGCGCGCACGTTGTCGCTAGGACGAATCGAGCGGCTTGGTGGGCGCGAGTGTTTGGTAAACACCAAATTCTCGTGTCTACCGAGTCGCGAAATTTCGAAGACTTTTTCTATGAACTGGCGACGATCACGTGGTTCTAAGATCCTTTGTCTCCAAAGCTTCTAGAACGTTCCACCGAGTTTACGTGGTCGAGCAAGGCACGAGCCTTCATCACTTCTCGTACAGTCGCATAGAGCGCGAGAGTAGTCCGAGCGAACCATTTAAGAGTTAGAGTGCGTTAAGCAGTAGTATTTTAATACGAAGTAAGCGGTAGGCAAAACTCGTGTCGTTCGTTAAACAGTTTTATACTAAATTCATTTATTTAATTTTCACTTCTTCTCGTACAGTCGCGGTGAGCGCAAGAGTTAAATTGGAGTCCGATCTGGTCTGACCATGTTCGGGTGCAGGCCCTCGCTCCGCTTCTGAATGCCGGCCCACTTACTACTCTTTCAAATTTGCTCCGATTTGACAATGAAAGCGTGATTCAAAAAATTTGATTTTTTGGGGATCTGTTAATAAAGCATTCGCGCGTTTCACGACGTATAAACAGCGGATTATAAAATTGTACACGAAATCATCGGAAGTTAAAATAAGCGAACTGCTGAATAGTAAATGCCAATACCATAGAAGGGAAAGCAGACGCGTTCTCCGGAGGAGATGGTGATGGGGAAGCCCGAAGGGAGAGGCACAACTAAGAAAAATATGGCGGCTCTGGGAGAAAAAAACCCCTGACTCGTTAACACGAGAGTGAAGGAAATAATAGGGAAATTTGATACTAGCACACTGAAGAAACGGAAGGTGGCAGATAGATCGCCAGATGTTACAGAAAGTGAAGAAGAATGGTCGAAAATACAGAGGAGGGAAAGAAGAATAGAACAAAGGAACAAGACATACGAGAAAGCGTTGCATAAGCACGAGGTCAAAGTTAAAAACCGAAAAATAACGTAATAAAAGATAAAGTGGAAAAGAAAGTAAGTTTAAAAAAAAGAATTACAGAAAAAGAGGAGCTTGAAAAACAAAGAAATATAAACATTAACAGTACTAAGGGAGAAAAAGGATATAAAGATATACAAGGTAAATTTTTACCAACAAGTAGCCCAGGTAAGAATTATAACCTAACAGAACTTTATAGAATAAATCAGGACGAGGGGGAAGTAAATAACAAAGAAGAAGACTACCTTAGATTTTGTGAATGTTTCATAGATTATAAAGAAGCATCTAAAGTTAAAAAAGTGAATTATATAAGAATCTTTAGAAATTTAAGCATATTTAGTCCGCAAATAGAAGCTATCAGAATAACCACGTACAGAGGGGCAGAAATTAAGTTTAAGAACTACTATCACGGTAGGACCCTAGTTAAGGAAATGCAAAGGAAAAATAAGGACAAAATTGAAATCCGAATCCTATTTAGAGCGGAAGAAAGATGGGGAGTCACAAGAGAATGGGAGTTCTCGCCAGCAGAACTACTTAAAAAGAGGCGGAAGAAGGCCAGGGAATAATTTCAGCAGAGAGACTGAAAAGACCTATCAAAACAGAAAAAAAGACAGATTATAAGGAAACAGGTATGATACCAATAAAATTCGCAGGAGACTCATTGCCAACAAGAGTGAGCATATACGAGGGAGCCATTAACCTAAATATTACCCCATATGTAAAAGCCGTCAAACAATGTTTCAACTGCTTGCAATATGGGCACTATAAACAAAACTATAGGAAGGATACAAAAATGTGTTTTATCTGTGGTGATAACTATCACGGAAACTGTAACAAAAAACTGCAATGTGTGAACTGCGAAGGAGAACATGGAGCCCTCAGTAGGACATGTATACATTGGGCGTTGGAATCCGCCACAAACAAAATAATGGTAACAACAACCTCAAACAAAAACCTTTGTCTGCTAGAAGCGCGGCAACTCGCAAAAATGGAATTAAGAATTTTCGATAAATCTAGAAGAAATGACTCAGAAATAGAAAGTTTGAGAGTCGATGATCTCAATTTTCCAAGATTACAAAGTAAGAAAAAGAATTCCTATAGAGAATATGAGAGGTGGGAAAATCTACCGTGCCCAATAAATAAAGGAAAATGGAACAGAAGCCAGGAACCAAGGCAGTTCAACATAGAAACCAGAAACAAATACGAAAAATTTAATACAGAAGAGGAATATCATCGAAATAGACACGAATCATTCATACCTCTGGCGCAAGCCAAGGACGATGAACAGGACAAAAACCTCCGAGCAAAACCCCTGCAAAAAGGAAGAAGGGCCATCACAGAGGATGACATCAATCTATGGACTGGATCCATCAGGAGAAAATGGAAGACTTAGTCATCGATAAAATAAACAGAAACCGGAGAATAAATCATCCTAAAAGGATAGACTTCCACGATGAAGGATACAATAAAGATAGACGAAATAATTACCCCCAAAAAAGGTACGGTACGAAAGGGAGATTCGAAGACCCCCTACCTAAGGAGGTATTCAAATCTACATTAACAGATGAGTTTAATGAAGATTTTAGCTTTATAAAATCAGCCAGGAACACAAATCAAGGAGACAGATATAGAAAGACATATTCCAGAAAAATAAACAACCAAACGACAAGCGAAGAACCACAGCCAAGCACCTCCAAAGAATCCTTCCTGATCCATTTTGAAGATTCGACAAAGGGTAAAGACGCCCAAAAAAATAAAGGGACGGAAATAGCTAAGGAAAACAGAGGACACATGTCAGAAAAAAAATGAGAGGGCCCTCAAGCTCCTCAAAATACCAAAAAAGTAGCAGAATAACCCCAGAAAAATAATGAAGGAGAACAAAAAGAGAAGGAGAATACCTACGAAGAATTAGTGACGGAACTGCAAGACATGGCAACCGACCAGGTAGTGGAAATTACAACGAAGAACGAGGAAGACCAGGAAGAATAAGTTACGAAAAGCGCAGAGACCAAAGACATTTATTTTAAAGAAAATAAGCAGATTGAGACAAGGTAAATTCTAAATAATATTAATTCACGCAGCAATTAAATACTATAGAAAGATAATATAACCAATCTTAGAGAAAAAAAATAATAAATAAAAAGTCAATATATATTATTATTAGCTATACTTAAACAATTTAAACTTAGTTTATTTACGGAAATTAGTATATAAGAAAGACCTATATAGACAAATAAAATACCATACTTTTAATTTTATATTAACATCTTAGTATACAAGATTAAATAGATTAAAACGTGATCTAACAATTTACCAAATACAAAATTAATTAATTAATCTACAGGAAAACATGCACAATCATGTAAAAGTAGACTTTTGCAACGCTAAAAGTTTAAGTAATAAGTATCATGAATTAAAAGAGATTATTGATGAATTTGATATTTTCTGCATTAATGAAACATGGATGTACAAATGGACATTTCAAAAATTCAACGACTACAACATTATACATAACAAAGTTAACAGAAAGGATAATAAAAGCTTTACCACGCCAGGCTCAGGAATGGTAATTATATTTAAAGACTACTTAAATATAGAATTAATTAAAGAAAAATATATGGAAAACCAATATGAATATATGAAATTTACAATTAAGAATATAAACAACAGTATAATATATGATATAAACTTTTTATATAGAAATCCAAAAGTAAATGCTAGTTATAGAAAATGGAAGGATATGTTTGATGACCTCGATTTAGACGATAATTTGATAATAATAGGGGATTTTAATGCAAGGCATACAGAATGGAATTGTAGAACACAAGACATTTCAGGGATAAATCTAAAAGATGTACTGGAGAAGTACGATATGATTGTACAAAATCACAACACAACATCTAGATACAGCCCAAATAACAAAAGCTTCAATAACTCAAATATTGATCTCATAGTAACACGACCACATTTAACAGGAATTATCAATTTTTCGGAAACGGGGGAGTGCTTAGGCTCGGACTACCAAATAATAAACTTTATGCTATATACTAACGAAAACATAGGTCTAGAATTAAATGTATCTAATAAACATAGGGGTAATAGTAGACTATACAAAAACAAAGAAAACGTGAACTGGATGGAGTTTAGACAAAAAGTAGAAGAAAAGGAAAAAAAGATAAACCAGGAATTGGAAAGGATAACGGACATCAGTAACAAATATCAAAGATGGTGTGAATACATCTACGAAACTTTCCAGGAAATTACGCCGGACAGCAAAAACAAAAGGAAGAACCAAACACCGGACCCAGAAAACACAAATAGAAATAGGAGAAAAAAAAGGACAAAACACAGGCGATCCCCAATAGGATCACAGAAAGAAAAGGAATGTTTGGTGGGACCAGGAATGCGAAGTCGCATGGAGGAAATGGAAAGAGAGCTCGAGGATTTTATGGAAAACTGGCAAACCAGAAGACTATGCGATAATGGAACATGACAGGATGAAATGGATCCAGTTAAAAAAGAAAAAAAAGAGGCTACATGGACATCATTTATAGAAGAATTATCTAAGGAAAAAAATAGTGGAAAGCTATGGAATAAAGTCAGGAGGATTAAGAATGTCTATACGAAAGACAAATCGATCATAAATGCCAGGAAAGGACTAGAACTGGAGAAGGAAGAAATCAAAAAACTCGCAGGAAAAAACAAAAACTCTGAATATTTAACAGAGTAATCAACGAACAAATAAACAGGTACGTTTTTAATCACCCATCAAAATAGGACGAGGAAATAGACAATATTAAAATTTTAACAACCATTAATAGTCTAAGAGGTAAAACGTCTGCCTCAAATGATGATAAAATAGACTACAAAATAATAAACGAACTTCCATCATTTATGAAGAAACTAATATGTAATATTATAAAGGAGAGCTGGGATCAGATGACATCACCCAATGGATGGAAAACGGGTGAATATCCTTACTAAAAAAACTTGGGAAAGCGGCCTTAAGGCCTATCACCCTTACGTCCTGTGCAGGTAAAATTTTAAAGATAATAAATACCAAACTTAATCTCTGGGCAAAAGAAAATAATATTATTGATGATTCGCAATCTGAATTTAGGCAAAAAAAGAACTACCATGGACAATCTGAACAAAATAGTGATGGAGATAAGAGACAACAGCAGAAAACTCAACAAAACAGCAACTGCCTACATAGATATTAAAGGAGCATACAATAATGTAAACTTCAATAAGGTATTCAAATTACTAATGGAAAAGGGATGCCCGCCCAGGATAGTGAAATGGGTAAAAAATTGGTTGATGGACAGGTATGTTAAAATCAAGAACTCTGATGGGGAAGAAACAACTATCCCATGGAAAGTAGGTGTCCCTCAGGGTGCTATTATCAGCCCAACTTTGTTTAATTTATACATTGCAGGCATATCTAGGGAAATTAAATCTCAAAATACTCAAATATTAATATATGCAGACGATATTGGCATAATAACAAAAAAGTATCCAAAATACATTAAGAAAAGCTGAAACTGCAGCCCTGAGAGCAGCAATGGGATATCGAATATCTACACCACTTAATGTTATATACAGTCAGTATAAAAAGTATTCGTACAGCTCCCCATTTAAAATAAATGGTTCCTGTACGAATACTTATTACACTGACTGTACATGGAATGTGGTTGGATCACCCTGTTGGACAGAGACATTTTCCTAGCTAGCAAGTATTGGATACGCCAATTTGAAAAAGGAGTAGAAAACAACCCAACGCTGTAGCTATTTGTTAAAATTAAGGAACAAAACAATTTGATTACAGAATCACATACGTCACATAAAATTAACACCATGCCTAACATATCGGAATGCGTATACTATCATATATGAAAATGGAAGGACCAAATATATACCAGAGAATATACACTGACAGACAAAATTCAAAGAACACTTCTTTAAAACGTCATATCTCTGGGAGTTTTCAACCGATTTTGGGGAAACTTCGTGAGAAGTAGTTTTGAAGTGTCCTCTGGGTGTGTGCAATGTTGCATTGACGAGGGTTGATGATAAAGCGTTAATTCACCTCCCCCCCCCCTCCAAAGAGGTAATGCAAAAAAACGGCACTCCAGAAGGGTCCAGGAGCGACGGAAGGTGGTGAAAAAATTCAAAAAAACCTTTGAGGCGACTCTGTTTGATGCCCCCTACAAAATGCACCCCTTGAAATCGATCTCGGACAAACCCACCCGTCACAACACCCCACCCCCCCTAAAATCCACAATTTTTGGACAACAGTCTCGATTTTGGGCTCAATGCATTCTCTGGACTCCCCTGATCCAGAAAATGCTATCACCCATAAAGTAGTAAGTGGGCTGGCATTCAGAAGCGGAGCGAGGGCCTGCACCCATACGTGGTCAGACCAGACCGGACTCCAATTTAACGTGGGCTGACCCATACGGACGCAGGGTCTCGCACCACTTTTGAATGCCGTTTCCGTCCGGCCCACTTACTACTCTTTCAAATCTACTCCGATTTGACCACGAAAGCGTGATTCAAAAAATCTGATTTTTTGGGGATCTGTTAGTAAAGCATTCGCGCGTCCGATTCCATGAACGGTTACTCGTTCACCTGGTACATAGGCCTAAACTCGCAGATGGGTTTTCTAAAAAAAAACGACATTTTCGTATTTTAATGCTAGCCACGCGGGGAAAAGACATCAAAACTGTATTGCCTTGATGCCCCGGACCGTGGGACATAAGCTTCTCGCGTTGCAACAACGTTTCAACCCCTACACCTGTGGGTGGACCACCCCTAACTCGGGGCCACCCTGTTCAGCTCCAGGGGCAGTTTTCGAAACGAGCTTTGAATGACATTGATCCTTAACGTATCGAGAATAAACATGTTGAATTTCATCGCCTTCCGAGCTGTGGAAGTGCTTCCTTACGAAGGGTGTTTCCTGGATCAGGGGATTCCAGGGAATGCATTGAGACCAAATTCGGGACTGTAGTCCAAAAATTGTGGATTTTAGAGTGGGAGATTGTGGGGGTTGGGTTTGTCCGAAAGGGATTTCAAGGGGTCCATTTTGTAGAGGGCATCAAGGAGAGTCGTCCCAAAGGTTTGTTTGAATTTTTCAACCCCTTCCGTCACCCCTGCCCCCTTCAGAAGTGCCGTTTTCCGACGTGCCCCTCTCTACGGGGGTGAATTAACCCCTTCGCATCAACCCTCGCCAATGCAACTTTGCACACATTTAGAGGACACTTCAAAACTACTTCTCACGAAGTTTCCCCAAAATCGGTTGGAAACTCCCAGAGATATGACGTTTTAAAGAAGTGTTCTTTGAATTTTGTCCGTCAGTGTATTTCGGAATACCTAGAAAATTGGAATAACAAAAGAAGAAGAACCACAGCTACAAATGAAGCGAATAATAAGAATATTCTACTGGATTGCGATACATATAAATTAAAAGCATCAAAGTAGTTCCAATCAAGATAATAAAAAAGGTCTTCTTTGACAAATATAATTTAAAAACTAACAATACCATTATCTATTTCACAGACGGGAGTAAAATCCCCGGTAAACAATCAAATGGTATAAGGATAGCCATCAACATGGAAGATAATTGGTTCGTGTTAGGTTGAGTAGCTCTAACACGTTGCAAAGATTTGCCGGATTGTTTGTAACGAAGGATAAACACTCACGAAAACTTGTTGTTTTCTTACGAACGTGAGTTCGTTAGCCGGTTTATGTGACTTCGAAATACAATGGACTGTATAATTTTACTTCAAAACTCGTAGTAACGAATTGCGGTTGTACTTTTTACGGGAGCGTGGTCTGCAAGAGAACCAGAGCTCGGACTAACTCGCTGTTCGCGATCAGCTCCTCAGCGGTGCTATCGGTAAAGCAAAAACGCGTTATTTTAAACGAGCGAAAGTCACCGTCTGTTTTGAGTGGTGCCTCGTATACGTGACGATTTTGGCATTATATACCGAACGGCGATCGATTGGCGTATGATCGTTAAAGCGTTGAGGTCTTCGCTTGGTTCTGACATTCGTCCAAACAGTTCGAATATGGTAAGGCAGTGCCAAATACCATGACCATCTTCACAACCGAAATGGTGGGCATATGAAAGGCATTAGACATCCATAAGAGAATAGGAGGGAACAAAAATTGCTTAATCCTAACCGATTCGGCGTCAGCAATCAAGGCACTCGAAAGCTTTTTAATAAGCAGAAACTGCAAAGAGAACAACCCGTGGTTAATCCACACCGGAAAAATGATAGAAGAATTACAAGATCTAACGATCATTGGATGGATTCCTGGTCATTCAGGAATATTAGGTAATGAGGTGGCGGACTTAAGAGGCAAGAAAGAAACAGACAATACACCGGACACAACAATTAGAATTCCTGCAACGGACATAATGATGAAAATCAAGGAACAATGCTGGAGTAACTTCAAGGAGAGGATGAGTTCGATAGGAGACTATGAAAGGGTAAAATTTTTTAGAGAAATTGGCCCCGACCTCCACAAGAAAAATTACAAACCATGGTTCCATAAATGGAGGCACAACCTGGACAGGGAGACGATAAGAGTCATCTCAAGAATAAGATCTAATCACTACAATTTGAAGGAGTCATTAGCTAAAAAGAATTTTATAAACTGCAGCAAGTGTGACTGCGATCAAGCGGATGAAGTTATTGACCATGTAGTGTTCGACTGTGACTTTTATAATCAAGTAAGAATAATAATATGGGAGAAATTAAAAAAGGAAATAGAAGCAGCGGGAAAGTCTGTGATGGAGTTACTTAAACTCAATAAAATTAAAATAATGAAAACTATAGTTAAGTTTTTAAATTCTATTAATAAAAAAATCTAGAAGATACATAAATGTTAAAATAATGTTAAAAATTAAATATTTTACGGAAAAGAGCAGCGAAATGAAAGTGATAACTAAAGTTCCTAAAGAAATAAAGAAATAAGCGGTACAAAAGTTATATCAGTATTAATTAGATATATATAAGCAGGTTAGATATATATAGGCCAAACTTTGTAAGACCT